CAGTTATGTTTGGGCTAGCTTGCTGTGTTTCTTTTTTTCAGTGTTTAATTTGATGATACCTCTCAGAATCTGCTGTTGTTTCATAGCCTCCTTTCCTGTTTTATTCTATCCCTCCTTTATATCTTTCAGCACATTTAATATACTTTAAATTCCTTTTTAGACTGTGTTATATCCTTTCTACTTCCTTAGCTGTAAATACTCCTGTTTCTTGGGTTTGTTGGTTGTCTTAGCATCAGATATATGTGCTTTGTAATTTTTTGTTTGTGAGTTCAAATTGTCTTATGTTAAGCAGATTTGTTTTTTTTCTTTCCTTCTTACCATGCTCTTTCTGCCCTGTAAGTTAGTTTTGAAATTTCCTCAACCTTACTTTTTGAAATCCTCAGCTCTGAAGGTTTTATAGTAGGGTCTTTCAGAGAAATTACCTTCAGTCCTTGAGCCCAAGATATGGTAGTCTGCTTGTTGGTTGCACAGATATTTCTAATTCTTCCCTTCATTGCAGACAGTTTTTTTTTTTTATTTGAAACTTAAAAACTCTAAACTTGTAAATAGAACTTTTTCAGCCTCTGTTCCTGTCTAGAAAACCTAGTCCCCTGGTTTCAAGTAGTGCATCTGACTGTTCACTGCCTCCTCACATATGAGGTGTTTTGGGTTTCATTTTCCCCAGTGTTGAAATTTTGACCCTGGTTTCTGTTTTCACTCTCAGCCCTTCACGTGCCCCCTTGCTTGAGCCACACTTAATTACTAGGAGTTCATCACCTGCTTTTAGAAAGGGTTGAATATCCCTCTTGACTTGTCCCTTAATTACTGTATTGATCTATATAAAGTAAACTTTCCCCATTTCTAGCTCATCATTTATAGATATAAGAACCATCTTACTTGTAATCATTGAAACATACTTTAAATTACAAAAAGTCCACTTCTAATTTAACAATTTCCCCTTTACCCATTCTCAAAATGTACAGAGGTGCAGTGGCGAATGGGGATGGGGAGTGTTTGTCTCTCTCTCTCTCTCTTTTTTTTTTTTCTTTTTGATACAGGGTCTCACTCCTGTTGCCCAGGCTAGAGTGTAGTGGCACAATCTCGGCTCACTGCAGCCTCCACCTCCCGAGCTCAGGTGATTCTCCCATCTCAGCCTCCTGAGTAGCTGGGACTACAGGCATGTGCCACCATGCCCAGCTAAGTTTTTGTTTTCAGTAGAGATGGCATTTTGCCTTGTTGCCTAGGCTGGTCTCAAACTCCTGGACTCAAGCAATCCTCCCACCTCGGCCTTCCAAAGTGCCTGGATTACAGGCATGAACCACTGTGCCTGGCCTGTTTGTTCTTTTAGTCTTTACTTTCTCCCCTTATTCTTGTGGTGCTCACATTGAGGGATGAAGAAGAAAGAAGAGGAAAGGGGGCGAAGACTTACTTGGTTGGTTCTTTGGTAATCCAGTGATGGCATATGTGCAAATGCTTGCTCTTCCGTGCTTCTCATTAGTGTGTTTTCTCAGAGGCCATCATAGAACCAGTCACTTCCCCAACATAGGCAATATACTTCATATTTCACCTCTTCCGACACCCTTCTTCACTCCCCTCATTTCTGGCTCAGCTCCTGCCCACAAGTATCCTTTTACTATTTAGATCATCTGACCTTGGTACCTTTTGGAGTTTCATTGATTGGGCTTAAAGTTGGACTTAACACTTGGCCCAGGGGAAGTACATGCATTCTTTTATTTCTCTCAAATTTTTATTTTGGAAAACTTCAGACCTGCAAAAAAGTTGAATGAATGGTGGGTGAATAACCATATGCCCTTCCTGTAGATTCACCAACTTAATATTTTACCATATTTGCTCGCATTTGTTTCATTTTCTTGGCTGGCTAATGAGAATCCTAATGCAGGCATGACTTTTCTTCATTCCTATGTACTTTTGCATGGATCTCCAAAAATCAAAGATACGTTTATGTTATACTCTGAAAATTTAACATTGGTATAATACTGTTATCTAATATACAGTACCTATTAAGATTTTCCCAAACGTTTCAATACCTTTTATAGCTGTTTTTCCTCCCGACCCAGCATATAATAAATATTTCAGTTCATTTTTCATGTTTCTTTAATCATGAGCAGTTCCGCCAGCCTATCTTTTTTTTTTTTTTTTTTTTTTTTACCTTTCACAACATTTGACTTTTTTTTAAAGGAGTGTACACCAGTTCTTTTGTAGAATGCCTCTCAACTTAGATTTGTGTGATTATTTTTTCATGACGAGATTGAGGTTAAACCTTTTTACTAATGTTTTGTTAAGGTGATATTCACCAGAGTTCTCTGTGAAGGTACTTTTTCCTGTATAATCTGTGGAGTGTCATTTTAAGACCGAATGGATTTCTTATTCCCTAACAGTCTTTTACCCTGTAGTTTTAGCATTCATCAATACTTTTTGCCTGTATCCATTATTAACTTGATATTTGTAATATGGTGATGTTCTAATTCTGTCATTTCTTCTATAGATAGAAGTCGGTTTTCTTCTATAAAGAGCAACTTTCCTCTTTTCTCCCACCTTCAAAAGAAATAATTTGTTGTCAGCATAGACTCATGGATTTTTTCAGTGTGTTGTTATCTATTTCTGTAATTACACATTTTGATGTGCAACTTGTTCCAAACTCGTCCTCTAGGGAGTCTATACATTCTTGCCCTGCCAAACAGTGGAAACGCAGCTTGTCCAACTGCTGGCCTTTTCCCTCCATTGGTAAAGCTGGCTCCAGTCAACTTACTGAGTTTGGACCTCTCATTGCTAAGGGAGGCACTTAACTCATGGGAAATATATTTACATATGCTCCCAAATGTGCAGATTCATATGTTGAATTTTCCTAAGAGCACTCCTTCTGCCACACACACCTGACATACGCCTGGTAGTTTCTGCTGCTCAGTAATCTCCCACCACAGAGTAAGATGCCTTTCTCCGCTTTCACAAGTTCTTTTAGAGCTTCCATTTACCCGATGTGATTTTACAATGCCCCATTCTCCTGGGGAAGGAAGGAGAAAAGTCACAGTTCTTTTTAGTCCTTTGAGTTCCCTCACAGAATGTCTTTTTGGGATTTTTTTGTCTTTTCTTTCTTTTATGGCCTGATGTGCTCTAAGGCTCTCTTTTAGTCCTGTGCAGATCTTTAGAATATGAGATGTATTGGTTTGCTGGGACTGCTGTTACAAGATACCACAAACTGAACTTTGCCTCAGTAAGATGCTAGAAGTCCAAGAGCAAGGCGTTGCTAGGGTTGCTTCCTTTGAGGACTCTGAGAAAGACTATTCTGTGCCTCTGTCCTCGTTTCTGGTGGTTTGCTGGCTGTCTTTGGTGTTTCTTGGTTTGTAGATGCATCACCCTGATCTCTGCCTTTGTCTTCACATGGCATTCTCCCTGTGTGTATCTGTGTCCAAATTTCCCCATTTTATAAGGATATCAGTCATAGCTGATTAGCTGCCTACCCTACTGGAGTATCATCTCATGCCAACTTAACTATAACTTAATATAGTAAGTAATATATAATGCTGTATTAACTTATATATCTACAGAGAGTTCCTCGTATGCTTTGGATAACTAGCCCCTTATCAGATACATGATTTGCAAAAATTTCCCCCCAATTTGTGGCGTTTCATTTTCATAATGGTTCTTTGACACTGAAACATTTTTAGTTGTGATGAAGTTCATCTTAAGTTTTTCTTTTATGGATACTTTTAGTGTCATATCTAAGAATACTCCACCCAAAGTCGCAAAGATTTTTTTCTTCTATATTTTGTTCTAAAGTTTTATAGTTTTTGCTCTTAACACTTAGGTCGCTTATCCATTTTGATTTAATTTTTGTGTACAGTGTGAGGTAGGGCCTAAATTAATATGTTTGCATATGGATATCTGGTTGTCCTAGTACCATTTGTTTAAAAGTCTGTCTTTTCCCCTGATTTATGTTGTCAAAAAGCCTTATGTTGTCACAAGTTCCTTATATTCCATAATATAGACTCTCAATTTTGTTGATTTACATGCCTGTCTTTGTGCCAGTATCAGCCTGTCTTGATTACTGTGGCTTTCTAGTAAGTTTTCAAATTCAATAGTGTACATTCATTTTTGAAATTGTTTTGGCTATTCTAGCTGCTTTGGCTTTCATAAATCTTAGAATTGGCTGGTCAATTCTACAAAAAAAAGTCCTGCTGGGATTTTGATAGTGAATACATTGAATTTACGCATCAGTTTGGGGAGAAGCCATCTTGAATATTAAGTGTTCCAATCTGTGAACATTAAAAGTCTTTATTTAGATCTCCTTTATAAATGATTTTCAGTGTACAAGTCATACATATCCTTTATTAAATTTATTCCTAAGTTTCTATCCCTTTTGATGTTACTGTGAATGAAATTGTCTTCATAACTTCCGTTTCCTATTACTCATTGTTCATGTATAGATATACAATTGAGTTTTCTTATATTGATCTTGTATTCTGCAACTTTGTGGAACTTATTTATTTAGGTTATTTATTTAACCTTACTTATTTAGGTTATTTTTCTCCCTTAGGTTTTCAGGTGGGAGGGCAAACCAGTCCCTATCACTCCATTTTGGCTGGGAGAAGACGTCTACTCAAAGGGTTGTGAGAGATGAATGAAACCAATTGAGATAAAAACTTTTCCATGAATCTGTTTTCAACAAAGACCTTGTTAGTATAGTCCCTCAGTATCCATGGAGGATAGATTCCAGGACCTCCCTGAGATACCAAAATCCACAGACGCCCAAGTGCCTTATATGAAATGGTGCCGTGTTTGCATGTAACCTACATGCATCTTCCCATAAACTTTAAATCATCTCTAGATTACGTAGAAAACCTAATGCGATATAAATGCTATGTAAATAAACTGTATTGTTTGATTCATGGTTGCTTGAATTCACAGATGTGGTGGAAGTTGCAGATACAGGGGGTGAGCAGTGTTTTAATTTTTTCATGTTAAATGTCTTGGTCTAAGTAAATTTTCTATTTCCATTGCAGCATTCCTCCGAATATTGATTTGCTGAATAGCCCAGACTTATTGGAAACAACGATTGGTGATGTAATTGGGGCATCCGACACTATGGAAACATCCCAAGCACTGAATGACATTAATGTAGCCACCAGGCTTCCTGGATTAGGGGAACCTGAAGTTGAATATGAGAGTAAGTAAATGTTCCATAATACATCAGTCATACCTTTTTGTGTTCCTTTGATATATTTAAATTAGCTTCTCTAATAATATTTTTTATACTAGTTCAACTTTTAAATTTAATCCAGAAGAGTTATGCCCTCTTGCCTTTTTGACTAAAGGGAACACTGAAATGTTTAAGATAACATAATTGAGGTCATCAAACGTGTGTGTCATTTATAAGACATTAAACATTTAAGAGTCTTCATTTGCTTTTTTCTAGAGTGGAAACGTTTTCTAGGGCATAGGATTGAATGAATGTTTGAACATCCCATTAGCTCTTAGAAAGTATTTTGTCATTAATGAGGTTTATTATTGCCTAGGCCCACAAAAAGAAATAACACAGAAAGAATGGTGCTTTAAAACTCACACACACACACATACACACACACACATTTTTGAAGGTTAAAAGGAGACAGTAAATCTCTCATTGAAAATGTCTATATATTTGTGAGTTTAGTTTTATATGAAAGCATAACTTGTTTATAAACAGCAGTTTCCTGTTGAATCTCACTGTAATGCATGTTCATTTTAAAGCAGCTTGTATTTATTTGACTCTTGACAATTTGATTTCTATTGGAGGCTAAAATTAGCCACTACAGTGTTAAACAACTCAGAAAATTGCCCTACGTATGCTGTTGTCTCTGAGACTGTAGAATACAGCAGTAACATTTAGTAATTTAGAAATAAATGTTAGTGAAAAGTCACACAGTGCTTCTGGTTAATAGAACATGTTAAAGTATTACTAATAAGTGGTGCTAAAAATTTGTTTGTTTCCTAAGAAATCACTACAAGTACTCTGGTACATCATGGTTTTTTACTGACATCTAACATGTTTAAATTTTGCTTGTTAGTCTCAGGTCAGAGAAATAATAATTTAACTTATTACATTGGTAATTTCAAAGTAACTTGATTTTTTAAGGTAGTAGTCTGTTATTAGATTAAGAAAATATCCCCCATTACTATTTCTCACGTACTTTCTCTGTAGTAATTTATTTTGAATAGTCCAGTTTTGACAGCCTTTCCCTGGACTCCACTTCTTGTTAGCAACGCTTGCTCTTATTCTCACTTATATGTGGGAGCTACACAGGGACATAAAGATGGGAACAGTAGACACTGGGGATTCCTAAAGGAGGGATGGAGTGTGAAAGGGCTGAAAAACTTCCTATTGGGTGCTGTGCTCACTATCTGGGAGATGAGATCAGTAGAAGCCCAAACCATGGCACCACATAATATACCCTTGTAACAAACCTGTACATGTACTCCCTGAATCAAAAATTAAAATTAGGCTGGATGTGGTGGCCCGCGCCTGCAGTCCCAGCTACTCGGGAGGCTGAGGCATGAGAATCGCTTGAACCTGGGAGGCAGAGGTTGCAGTGAGCTGAGATTATGCCGCTGAGCTCCAGCCTGGACCACAGAGCAAGACTGTCTCAAAAGAAAAAAGAAAAAAAAAAGAAAAGAAAAAATTAAGTTAAATTAAAATTAAAAAAAGAAATTTGCTTTTTGTTTCTAGAAAGAATTGAGACATAGCATAGCAAAGCCAGCAGGATTTAGATTCAGCCAGAACCATGACTATCTTAATGCAGAGTATTTCCAGGGTTAAAAATAAAAATAGTCTCCTTTAAAGAGATGGCAGTATTGATTTTATTTACATTCCATTTGACATCCATTACACGAATTCACAAAGTTTAATTTTTCCAGTGCTGTAATAGTGTTGTATTAGTATCACTTATTGAGTACATACTTTTTGCAAAATATGTTAGCTTAGAATTTACATGGTAAAATGAACTAGGGATGCTTAGAAAAGATCAAATGAAATATAACTCTCTTTGATGAAACAAACTCATATTGGTGAATTTAAGTTCATCAATCTTGATATCCAATTGTGTATTTTATTTTGGTTGTAATGTCAAAATCCTGATTCACATAGGTAAATAGTTACAAATTGTAACTAAAATACCTTGTGCTGCATGGCAGGATGTTCCTCGGACAAAAAAAATGTAGCAGAAAAAGGTTTATTTTAACAACAAAAAGAGTATTCAGGATGGAGTAATTTGAAGCATAAGAAAACCAGGAGATGGCAATTAAGTAAATAGATAGGGAAGAACCGGTGTTGAATTACTGGTTCTCAGCCTTGGTTGTACTTAAAATCACCTGGAGAGTTTTAAAAACTACCAGTTCCAGAATCCTACCTCAAAAGCTTTTGTTATGATTATTCTTGGGTGAGTCCTGGGAATGAGTGTTTCTTGAAAGCTCTCCAGCTGATTCTTAATGTGTAGCCAGGGCCTCCACTCAGTTAACTGGTGGCCACTTTTAGAAGATCCCTTTGACCCAGAGGATATGATTTCAAAGTTTTCTCTTCTTTTCTTCTGATTATATAGAAATTATTAGGCATTCAACATTTTTTGTCAAGTGACAGTGTAAAATTTTATGCTCACATCAAATTAATCTGCAAAATAAGATTATTTCAGGTTAATTTTAAGTCTTCATTTAAAGATGAATTGTGTTTAATGTATTATCTTTTCAGTGGTTAGAGGACTTTGTAATGTATTCTGCCACTAGGAAGAACATTATGAAGACAAAATGCTTGTCTTGCGTCACACCTGATGGTACCAACATATAATATGTTGATTTAGTGAATGAATAAATATATATTCTTCACAGTTTGTTCCACGTAAATTTAGTTTTAGGCAGTCAGGGCCAATGAACAAAGATGGCGAAGTGTTGAGGTTATACATGAGCCTGGGTTGTGGTTATGAACGAAAAGGATCATGTCACAAGTGTTGTGTGCCTTTTGAGTCTCTTGGCTAGGTAAACCTTCTTAACCACACATGCTATTGAGATTTCACATCTACTTGCTTTTTAGGAATGCTGCAGATTTAGGGTGGTGTTTCTACTTAGGATTAACTCTTACTCAGATTAATGGACAGGTAGCTGGTTATGGAAAGAAAATATATTATTTTGTGTTTATCTGGATTATTACTTTTAATTGATAATTGATGTTGAGAAACCGAAACAAAACAAAACCATACCCTCACACAGCTAGCTGTGACAGCCTGGCAGACTGAGGGATTATTTTGCCTTTTTTTTTTTTTCCAGCATTAAAAGACGCCTCAGAGAAGCTCAAACAGCTTGAGATGGAGAACAGTCCTTTGCTGTCCCCTCGATCCAACATCGATGTTAACATAAACAGCCAGGTATTCAAATTTCCCCTGCGTATACCTGTTACACATCTCCAGAGCTCCCACAAATCTTTTCTTTCCAAAGATAGTACTTTTTTCTTTAACTGGGAAATCTGTCTGTGCTGATTTCTTATAAACCTGTTTTCCCATTTTAAAAGGATGAAATCTGTAGATGTTCAGGAGGGAAGGGGGAAACTTGCACAGCAAGATGAATTGTAAGGTGATTGCATGATTTAAAAAAAAAAACCACAGTCAAGATGACTGTTAAACCTTTTATTTTGATGCACCCAGTCTAGTTGAAGGACTTGCTGAAGCCTTTGGAAATTACAGAAGGATTTGTTTTAAAGAGGGCTCCTCTGTGGTATAAACAAGAAAGAGAATAGAATTTCCGATGCTTTAACTTCATCTATCATTCCTTTCTCTCCCCTGTCCCCTTTAAATATTTTTTGTCGTGGGGTGGGGAATACATACCAATTATACCAATCAAGCTTCAATTTATAGTTTGACTATGATTTTCTTATTTCTATGTTAAATAACTTATAGGAAGAGCTAAAATAAATAGAATGAGATGGAAATTTTATAATTAATCATATCAGCTACCAGATGGCCCCACTAAGTGGAAGAGTTGATTTTAGGTAATGATCTAGAAATGCCCTTTTTTTTTCTCTACATATAGACAACTGATAACATGGCCAAGATGAATTTTGTTTTTGTTTTAAAGAGGAAAGGAGAATGGCTAACTCACAGTGTTCTTCCATCCTTGGATAACTAACTGGAATTTCTTTTTTTTTTATTATTATTATACTTTAAGTTCTATGGTACATGTGCACAACGTGCAGATTTGTTACATATGTATACATGTGCCATATTGGTGTGCTGCACCCATCAACTTGTCATTTAGATCAGGTATAACTCCAATGCCACCCCTCCCCCCTCCCCACAATAAGCCCCGGTGTGTGATGTTCCCCTTCCCGTGTCCAAGTGATCTCATTGTTCAATTCCCACCTATGAGTGAGAACATGCAGTGTTTGGCTTTCTGTTGTTGCGATAGTTTGCTGAGAATGATGGTTTCCAGCCGCATCCATGTCCCTACAAAAGACACGAACTCATCCTTCTTTATGGCTGCATGGTATTCCATGGTGTATATGTGCCACATTTTCTTAATCCACTCTGTCACTGATGGACATTTGGGTTGATTCCAAGTCTTTGCTATTGTGAATAGTGCCGCAGTAAACATAGGTGTGCATGTGTCTTTATAGCAGCATGATTTATAATCCTTTGGGTATATACCCAGTAATGGGATGGCTGGGTCATATGGTACTTCTAGTTCTAGATCCTTGAGGAATTGCCATACTGTTTTCCACAATGGTTGAACTAGTTTACAATCCCACTAACAGTGTAAAAGTGTTCCTATTTCTCCACATCCTCTCCAGCATCTGTTGTTTCCTGACTTTTTAATGATTGCCATTCTAACTGGTGTGAGATGGTATCTTACTGTGGTTTTGATTTGCATTTCTCTGATGGCCAGTGATGATGAGCATTTTTTCATGTGTCTGTTGGCTGTATGAATGTCTTCTTTTGAGAAATATCTGTTCATATTCTTTGCCCACTTTTTGATGGGGTTGTTTTTTTCTTGTAAATTTGTTTGAGTTCTTTGTAGGTTCTGGATATTAGCCCTTTGTCAGATGAGCAGATTGCAAAAATGTTCTCCCATTCTGTAGGTTGCGTGTTCACTCTGATAGTAGTTTCTTTTGCTGTGCAGAAGCTCTTTAGTTTAATGAGATCCCATTTGTCAATTTTGGCTTTTGTTACCATTGCTTTTGGTGTTTTAAACATGAAGTCCTTGCCCATGCCTATGTCCTGAATGGCATTACCTAGGTTTTCTTCTAGGGTTTTTATGGTATTAGGTCTAACATTTAAGTCTCTAATCCATCTTGAATTAATTTTCGTATAAGGAGTAAGGAAAGGATCCAGTTTCAGCTTTCTACTTATGACTAGCCAGTTTTCCCAGCACCATTTATTAAATAGGGAATCCTTTCCCCATTTCTTGTTTTTATCAGGGTTGTCAAAGATCAGATGGCTGTAGATGTGTGGTATTATTTCTGAGGGCTCTGTTCTGTTCCATTGGTCTATATCTCTGTTTTGGTACCAGTACCATGCTGTTTTGGTTACTGTAGCCTTGTAGTATAGTTTGAAGTCAGGTAGTGTGATGCCTCCAGCTTTGTTCTTTTGACTTAGGATTGTCTTAGCAATGCAGGCTCTTTTTTGGTTCCATATGAACTTTAAAGCAGTTTTTTCCAATTCTGTGAAGAAAGTCATTGGTACCTTGATGGGGATGGCATTGAATCTAAATTACCTTGGGCAGTATGGCCATTTTCACAATATTAATTCTTCCTATCCATGAGCATGAAATGTTCTTCCATTTGTTTGTGTCCCCTTTTATTTCACTGAGCAGTGGTTTGTAGTTCTCCTTGAAGAGGTCCTTTACATCCCTTGTAAGTTGGATTCCTAGGTGTTTTATTCTCTTTGAAGCTATTGTGAATGGGAGTTCACTCATGATGTGGCTCTCTGTTTGTCTGTTATTGGTGTGTAAGAATGCTAGTGATTTTTGCACATTGATTTTGTATCCTGAGACTTTGCTGAAGTTGCTTATCAGCTTAAGGAGACTTTGGGCTGAGATGATGGGGTTTTCTAAATACACAATCATGTCATCTGCGAACAGGGACAATTTGACTTCTTCTTTTCCTAATTGAATACCCTTTATTTCTTTCTCTTGCCTGATTGCCCTGGACAGAACTTCCAACACTATGTTGAATAGGAGTGGTGAGAGATGGCATCCCAGTCTTGTGCCAGTTTTCAAAGGGAATGCTTCCAGTTTTTGCCCATTCAGTATGATATTGGCTGTGGGTTTGTCATAAATAGCTCTTATGATTTTGAGATATGTTCCATCAGTACCGAATTTATTGAGAGTTTTTAGCATGAAGGGCTGTTGAATTTTGTCGAAGGCCTTTTCTGCATCTATTGAGATAATTATGTGGTTTTTGTCTTTAGTTCTGTTTATATGCTGGATTACGTTTATTGATTTGTGTATGTTGAACCAGCCTTGCATCCCAGGGATGAAGCCCACTTGATCATGGTGGATAAGCTTTTTGATGTGCTGCTGGATTCGGTTTGCCAGTATTTTATTGAGGATTTTTGCATCGATGTTCATCAGGAATATTTGTCTAAAATTTTCTTTTTTTGTGGTGTCTCTGCCAGGCTTTGGTATCAGGATGATGTTGGCCTCATAAAATGAGTTAGGGAGGATTCCCTCTTTTTCTGTTGATTGGAATAGTTTCAGAAGGAATGGTAGCAGCTCCTCCTTGTACCTCTGGTAGAATTCGGCTGTGAATCCATCTGGTCCTGGACTTTTTTTTTGGTTGGTAGGCTATTAATTATTGCCTCAGTTTCAGAGCCTGCTATTGTTCTATTCAGGGATTCAACTTCTTCCTGGTTTAGTCTTGAGAGAATGTAAGTGTCCAGGAAATTATCCATTTCTTCTAGGTTTTCTAGTTCATTTGCGTAGAGGTGTTTATAGTATTCTCTGATGGTAGTTTGTATTTCTGTGGGGTCGGTGGTGATATCCCCTTTATCATTTTTTATTGCATCTATTTGATTCCTCTCTCTTTTCTTCTTTATTTGTCTTGCTAGCAGTCTATCAATTTTGTTGATCTTTTCAAAAAACCAGCTCCTGGATTCATTGATTTTTTGGAGGGTTTTTTGTGTCTCTATCTCCTTCAGTTCTGCTCTGATCTTAGTTATTTCTTGCCTTCTGCTAGCTTTTGAATGTGTTTGCTCTTGCTTCTCTAGTTCTTTTAATTGTGATGTTAGGGTGTCAATTTTAGATCTTTCCAGCTTTCTCTAAATTTCCCTCTACACACTGCTTTAAATGTGTCCCAGAGATTCTGGTATGTTGTATTTTTGTTCTCATTGGTTTCAAAGAATATCTTTATTTCTACCTTCTTTTCGTTATGTACCCAGTAGTCATTCAGGAGCAGGTTGTTCAGTTTCCATGTATTTGAGTGGTTTTGATTGAGTTTCTTAGTCCTGAATTCTAGTTTGATTGCACTGTGGTCTGAGAGACAGTTTGTTATGATTTCTGTTCTTTTACATTTTCTGAGGAGTGCTTTACTTCCAACTATGTGGTCAATTTTGGAATAAATGCAATGTGGTGCTGAGAATATATATTCTGTTGATTTGGGGTGGAGAGTTCTGTAGACATCTATTAGGTCTGCTTGGTGCAGAGTTGAGTTCAATTCCTGGATATCCTTGTTAACTTTCTGTCTCATTGATCTGTCTAATGTTGAAGTGGGGTGTTAAAGTCTCCCATTATTATTGTATGGGAGTCTAAGTCTCTTTTTACGTCTCTAAGGACTTGCTTTATGAATCTGGGTGCTCCTTATTGGGTGCATATATAATTAGGATAGTTAGCTCTTCCTGATGAATTGATCCCTTTACCATTATGTAATGGCCTTCTTTGTCTCCTTTGATCTTTGATGGTTTAAAGTCTGTTTTATCAGAGACTAGGATTGCAACCCCTGCTTTTTTTTTGTTTTCCATTTGCTTGATAGATCTTCCTCCATCCCTTTATTTTGAGCCTATGTGTGTCTCTGCATGTGAGATGGGTCTCCTGAATACAGCAAACTGATGGGTCTTGACTCTTTATCCAATTTGCCAGTCTGTGTCTTTTAATTGGACCATTTAGTCCATTTACATTTAAGGTTAATATTCTTATGTGTGAACATGATCCTGTCATTATGATATTAGCTGGTTATTTTGCTCGTTAGTTGATGCAGTTTCTTCCTAGCCTCGATGGTCTTTACATTTTGGCATGTTTTTGCAATGGCTGGTACTGGTTGTTCCTTTCCACGTTTAGTGCTTCCTTCAGGATCTCTTGTAGGGCAGGCCTGGTGGTGACAAAATCTCTAAGCATTTGCATTCCTGTAAAGGATTTTATTTCTCCTTCACTTATGAAA